GTAATATTATGAAGAGGTAAAGTTTGTGTATAATCTTGAATTTTAAACTGATTAAAAAAAAATCTTGTGTAGGTTAGTCCATTTATCGAATAAATCTTATGGGCTATATAACGTTACAACTAAAAGAGCGGAGAAAGAAAAATGATAAAAAAGTGGAAAATTTGATACATACGAGTGATAATAAATGTACAACATGAGTAAGTAAATTATAATCAGACCCGATTAATTTGTCCCGAATTTTCGAATATCAGGCAATGCAAACATTTGTGTTGATCACAGGCTATAAAAGCATAATAAGTTAACTCAATATCAGAGGTCATGTCACATTGTTGGTACCTATTTCATAACGTCCTTGATACTGTTCATGCTTCTATTCATCAGGATTTTCAATTTAAATCCGTTTGAGAGTACGTGAAAATAAACAATAAAAAAAAGGAATACTAAAAATTACGTGTGTGGTGCATACGTGGGAAGTGTAGTAATAATTTAGTGTAGTTTGAATTTTAATAAAGTTAAAGTAAAAAATAGTACATCAGTTCAGAATCAGCTTTATCAAACCAGTTTGCTATTCTATTTCCATTTTCCATTTCCATTACATAAAAAACTGTACTGGCTTGATATATAGAATTTTAGGCTTAATCAAAGGTTTATCAATAGGGTGGTAGAGCGAGTAAAATGCGACGCGCCCCCCTGAAGGGGAGCCTGATTCGATAGGCAGCGAGCACATGAGGAATATAATATTTATAAATTAACTAGTGATGCCCGCAACATCGTTCACAACCACATTTGTAGAACGCAATATTTATGATTACCTAACGACAACAATATATAAAGCAATCATATACCTACCGTCATTAATCATATTTTATAACAAATTAATAAATAAAGTTGCAGGTGGCTAAATGTCATATTAATTCCCGGAGATGTATATTCTGCGAAATCTTAACATGTAAACAGTCCGTTTTTGCTTTTTCACGAATATAATAAATAGTGATTGAGAAATGGTCGTAATTCGACCATAGTTAATTTAATTTATGGTTAAGTTTGACATTCATATATAGACACACAGTGTTAAAAACAAACAATATTAGTTTATTCACAATTTGACATATGCGTGTATGTCTCAAATACATGGTAAGTACCTACCTAGTATGTGTAATATATTTTTTCATTTATTTAAAGTATTTTTATGGATAATTTAAAAAATAACAACACCATTCTGCACTCCTCCTCTATATAAACTATAAGTGTACGAAAATACATACTCCACCGTCCGCGCAGATTTTGTAAAAAGGGATGCAAAGTTTTTGCTTCGCGTATTAATGCTTTTAGTGCTACCCCTTACTACTGTTGGTCGGGGGTTCGATTCCCAGCATGGTAGGTACAGACATTCGAATTCATAAGCGTGATTATTTGTACTAGTCTATATGTTAACTGCATATATTATGTAAGTCTTTACAAAACAAATTAAGTACTTATATCGTTTGTGTTTTAAGATTTGCTTAGTTCAGAGCTAATGGCGCAGTGAGAATCGAATTTCTAAAAAATACGTTTATAGAAAATATAACGTGAAAATTCTTAGATAAACGGGCTGATGATGAACTTGCTCGCGAGCCTCTGATGGTATAGGTACATGACTGGGCTTAGTATTATTAGATATAGTTAGTATAACCTACCTCTAGACACAAACAAAGATGCACTATTGTGTCATAGTCATGACCTTTGGTCAGATAAGTGATTCGACAGTCACTCAAGCGGCATACAACAATGCCTAATACCTACATAATATGACACAATTCTATTGTTTTATACATAAATATAATATTTTATTACTCTTATTATACTTATGACTAGATGTTGCCGCGACCTCGTCCGCGTAAAATTTTACTTTATTTTTCTAAAATAATAGTAACCTAAGTTACTATCACATCAGCTACCTGCCAAAAAAAGTCCCGTCAAAATCGGTCCAGCCATTTCAGAAATTAGTCGGAACAAACAGACAGACAGACAAAATGTTAAAAATGTTATTTTTATTTAGATATATGTATAGATAGGTACCTATATATACAGCATATGGTGGTGATCACTCTATTCTAATTCTGAACTTAAAAATGAATCTGTATCTTTGTAAACATGTACCTTCTAGGTACATGTTTACAAAGATAACATTTGAAAAGAATAAAAACTGAGTTACAAAACTGCTTATTTTAAATTTATTTGAATAAATGATGTCCTATTCTATTATTTTCCATTCTATTCTATTCTATTCTATTTCTTGTCAGTTCGAACTAAACATTCGAAATTATGAGTTGACGCTGACATCAAAGTATTTTAAAGTCACAAAACATTTGTGAAGACAGATACAAAAAAGTTTTGTTTTCCAATTTTAATACAGTGAGCAAATGAAATACGTTTATAATAATTATATGAACAAGCGATACGTAAGACTATGTTAATTTGTTCCATATTTAAACGGAGACATTTTTTACTACGTTACGTTTTTTTACAAATTGTGTATCTACTTAATAAAAAATACAAAGAGTTTCGATTACATCATATAAATAATCTAAGTATATAACTATTTTTCACAGATACATTTTCTAATATTCTTATAAATTCGAATAGATACCAAAATAAATTATTCATATAATTTTTAGTCTTACGTTTTAGTCATTTTTATTGTATTAATATTTCTCTTTGTATTTGTTTTTCTTTAGAATTTATTCCTTCATCTAATAACATCAGGCGAGCCGCAAGTTCGTTTGTCCCTTAGGCTATAAAAAGAAACCTCGCCTACTCATAGACTACATACTCACATTCGACTTTTTGACCGCCGTTAATGAAATAGGTTAGTATTTTTGTTACTTATATGACATTTATTTGAGATATATTTTTAATAGTACTTCGTCGATATATGTAAAGTGAAAGTGTGTGAAGGTAGGTCAATTGCCGGTACGATAAATATTCATTTGGCTATTTAACTTTATCGATTTTTTTGTGATTTCCTTAATTTTATGAGAATCTAAACAATACCTATTCTATTAATAACGTTTCTTGTCATAAATCAAACACCTTTAGATTTTTAAGTCAACATTTTAGCGACTTATCATCAAAAAAATGAAATATAGTAGGTATTGAGGTTTATGACTTTATGTTGAAATAATAATATACAGGGAATACGATACAAACAATATATATGTTAAGTTCTATTTTATTTTACCTAAATTACGGGTGCTTTGTTTGACTCGGAAATCGAGAAGTCGGAAGGCAGAAATATTGTTCACATATTTCGAAAGTTCTACAAAGTTACTGCTAAAAGCTAACTTTTTCGTGAAACTTGCAAATATGATTAACGAAAATTTATAATTTCTAAATTAGCAAATACCAATTTTAATTAGGTATATAAAATGTTTACCTAAATGTAGTAATATTCTAAAATACTTATCAGACATTAGATATAACGATATTTCGAACATTAGATAATATGAAAAGATACCATCATAAAAGCTACGATCACTCTGCCAAGAGTGAACAAGTGCCAATAGTGAACGACTGAAGAAGGTACCTAATATTGCTAATAGGCAATAAACGTTTCAAATAATTATATAAAATTATATAAAGTCAGTTTTAAACGTAAACTCAAATACAGTGGTCATTGCTCTGTTTTAAATATTCACCATTTTTAGGTATCCATGTCTAATTTAGGTTGAACTCTCATAAACATGGATGCCTATATTAAAAATATAGAATACTTCTGTTATACCCTGAACAGAAAAGTAAATTCATAATATTTTTTGTCTTTACATTCAATGCAAGTAATGCAACCAACATTGAATATAAAAGGTGTAAGAAAAGTACAGTGACTTTTTGACATAGTTTACCAAAGTTTGACATATTCTTATCACAAAATGATGGATTGCCCACCTTGTAATAAGAAGTCAAACTGACGAGATTGACAAGGATTGACACTTGACACAGTACTGCCAGTTACAACTATTTTACCTAAAAATTAAGGTAAATTATGCTAGTAAAACTGACGTCTCATTTATTCATTCATAATTTAAGAACCACGCTCAAGTCGGTGGACATTTTACTACTTCCCACGATCTTTCATCATCCTCTTTAAATGTTGATAAGACCTGACTCCAACTTTGTCTTTAATTTGCTTTATGTTGTTCCTGGTTCTTCCCCTCTTTCTTTTTACTCATCATTTACTGCACTTCATCGCATCGTTTTCAAACATTTCCCTCCATCTCTATTGTCAATAATTTTCAATACTGTCTTTTTCTTTCTTAATGAAGGAAAGTGTTACATACATTAATATGTACTAGTGGATGGTTTATAATAAGAGGAAGACCGAAAAAAGGATGAATGGACTGTGTGAAAGATGATATGGTAAGAAAGTGAGTAAACAATGAAATGACTGCGAACAGGAAAGAAAAAATCATATTGCGCCGACTCTAAATAAATGGGATAAGGAAGGAGCAGATAATGATTTCTATTTTCTTTTATTCTGTATAGTATACATTACATTTACATATTCTGTATATTTTATACTTCTTCATTTTAATGCAGTCTTTCTTCAGTCAAATTAGTATTAAATTGAAATCTGTATTAGTACTGTAAGGATGAATTTACTTAGTAAGTAAGTAGTATATAAGGATTAACTATTATAATAAACGAAACAGTATATTGAGTGTATTCTGTTTCGTTTGTTATGTCGCACCTATCATTCGCCTAATAAGCACCACCCCTATATTACAATAAAATTCAGAACCATAAAAAAAATAGGTTATTTTATATTATGATTTTACATATTATGTGGTTGTGGTAGTATAGAAACTCTTTATAATACTATGATTTGTTTTTTTATTGTCTTGTCATATTGTAACATTTCAACATGTATATCTTACTAGCATTTTAGTTGAATTAAACCAATATTTCCTTATGGTCTATATCGTTTTGTATCAATTAATTCAACTAATAAAATACAATTAACAATGTCAAGAAAAAGTCGCAGTAAAAAGATTGAAGCAGATATAATGTCGATGCCAGGGCCGGCTTGTACAAGTTTAGCACGATATCTACGTCCGGAAAGATTTGAGTTAGACCCGAGTTCTACTGATGCCGATATTGAATGGACGCATTGGCTATATACATTTAACAATTTCCTATCAGAAAATAATGGTGAGTTTACTGATGAACATAAACTAAAAATTTTAATTAATCACTTATCTCCCAGTGTGTATGTAAACATAAAAGAATGTATTGATTATGAATCGGCTATTTTAATTTTGAATGGAATCTATATTAAACAGAAAAATGAAATACATGCACGTCATATTCTTGGCACTCGAAAGCAACGTAGTGATGAATCTATAGATCAATACTTACGTCAACTTAAATTACTTGCTCAAAAATGCTCTTTCAAGGATGCAAAGCTTTCAAAGCAGAACAATATCGATCAGAATATATCAGGGACGCATTTATTGCTGGTATTTCTTCACACAAAATACGCCAACGTTTACTAGAAAATCTGGAACTGTCACTTGATCAAGCATTTAACCAAGCACTTTCACTAGAAATGGCAGAAACAAATTCTCGATCTTTCAATGATAACATACCGCTTAACGCAGTGGATTCCATATCTACCTTATCTAATTCACAAAATAATAAAACCAAAACTTTGTCTTCTTACGATAATGAAGCGTCTACATCCATATCAGGAGATAATATAGCAGAAACCATTATAGCTGCCACAACAAATAAAAGATGTTTCTTTTGTGGTAGTAATGTAATTCATCAGCGGATAAAATGTCCAGCTTTAAATAGTACTTATCAAATTTGTTTTAAAAAGGGACATTTTGCTAATGTTTGTCGAAGCAAACAAACTATCAATGCTGTCATAGTAAATGAGATTAATAATAGTAACTCTGCAGAGGTTGCAGCTATATCTGCAGCTTCTTTACCTAGTTTACATAAAGCAACTGTACCTATCACCATTAATAAGTATTATGCTGAAGCCCTTATCGATACTGGAAGCTCATTAAACTTTGTAAATGAAGAATTAGCGCACTTATTGAAACTTAAACAGAAACCTTGTCAACAAATTATAACTTCAGCTTCACTTAATCATACATCACCAGTCAACTGTTACTGCAATGTAACTTTACAATTGAATAATCACTCGTACGACAATGTCAAATTATTAGTTGTACGTAATTTATGCGCTGATATTATACTAGGTCATGACTTACTTAAAGCTCATCACTCCTTAGAACTGAAGTTTGGTGGTCTCCGAGATCCTTTGAAGATATGTAATGTCATGGCTGCTAACTTACCTCATGCTACATTATTTTCAAATTTATCTCCTAATGTCAAACCCGTAGCAATAAAATCAAGACGTTACAGCGAGGGTGATCAACAATTTATTAAAGAAGAAGTTGAAAAACTATTAAAAGATGGAATCATTGAGCCAAGTATATCACCTTGGCGGGCACAAGTTCTAGTAACTGGCGGTGGTATCCATCGTAAACGTCTCGTTATTGATTATTCTCAAACTATAAATAAATTTACAGAACTTGATGCATATCCTTTACCTAATATTGAAGTACTTATATCAAAAATTGCGCGGAATAAATATTTTAGCCAAATTGATCTCAAAAGTGCCTACCATCAAGTACCAATTCAACAGAGAGAACGACCTTATACAGCATTTGAAGCATGCGGTAATCTATTTCAATTTACACGTATACCGTTTGGAGTAACAAATGAAGTATCAGCATTTCAAAGAACGATGCAATTTTTCATATCTAACGAAAATCTTACTGACACTTATGTATATTTAGATGACGTTACTGTTTATGGTAAGGATAAGCTTACTCATGATGCTAATCTAGCAAAATTTATGGCAACTGTAGCAAAGTATAAAATTACTCTAAACAAAGACAAATGTAATTTTGGTTCTGAGACTATTAATATATTAGGTTATACTATAGAGAACAATGTTGTAAGACCTGATAAAGAGCGTCTTAAACCTTTACTCTCCATGCCTGCACCTACAGATATAAATTCTCTAAAGAGAGTATTAGGTATGTTTGCAAATTATTCTAAACGAATAAATAACTATTCAGAGAAAATAAGCAATTTAGCGACTAATAATTCATTTCCATTATCACGTGATGCAGAAATATCCTTTGAGAGTCTTAAGAAAGATATTGCAAACGCTGCTTTAATTGCTATTGACGACACACAAATGTTTACTGTAGAGACTGATGCTTCTGAACATGCCTTAGCAGCAACACTTTCACAAAATAGTCGCCCGGTAGCATTTTTCTCTCGCTTATTGACAGAGTCCGAAAGAAACCATTCTTCAATAGAGAAAGAAGCGTCAGCAATTGTTGAAAGCCTACGTAGATGGCGTCACTATTTAATTGGAAAACATTTTCTTTTAATAACGGATCAACAATCGGTTTCCTTCATGTTCAATCAAAAACATTCAAGTAAAATTAAGAACGAGAAAATAGAGAGATGGAGGCTTGAATTATCTTGTTTCAAGTTTGATATTATATATCGACCGGGTAAACAAAATATTGTATCTGATACATTGTCAAGAGTTTGTGCTAATATGTTTTCACGCAAAAATTTATATGAGCTTCATAATACATTATGCCATCCAGGAATCACAAGAATGGCTCATTGGGTGCGGTCTAAGAATTTACCGTATTCGATTACTGAAATTAAGAATATGACAGTTGTCCTATTTGTTCGGAGATAAAGCCAAGATTTGCAAACAGTAAAGGACGACTTATTAAAGCGACGTCCCCATTTGAAAGACTTAGTTTAGACTTCAAAGGGCCGTTGCCTTCAAATTCCGAAAATAAATACATTTTAACTATTGTTGATAAATTTTCTCGATTTCCCTTTGCCTACCCCTGCAAAGATGTATCATCCGCCACTATAATAGCAAGTTTAAAGCATCTTTTCTTTACTTTTGGAACTCCTCTCTATGTACATTCAGACCGTGAAACTGGATTTATGTCACAAGAATTTAAAGATTTCCTAATAAGGAATGATATTGTATGCAGCAGGACTACGCCTTATAATCCAGAAGGAAATGGCCAGGTCGAAAGACTGAATGGGACTCTGTGGAGAACTATACAATTATCCTTACGATCCAAAAACCTAGATATTCGGTATGGGGAAGATGTCTTGCCTTTAGCGCTGCACTCAATTCGATCGTTATTATGCACAGCTACTAATGCTACACCACATGAGATGTTCTGTTTCCCGAGACGATCTGGTAATGGAGTTTCTTTACCTTCTTGCTGAATGATTCTGGGCCCAGTACTATTAAAAAAAATGTAAGAAAAAGTAAATATGATCCTTTAGTGGAAGAAGTGGAACTGCTGGAATCAAACCCAAACTATTCTATAATACGCTTTGCTGATGGGAGAGAGGATACAGTATCAAACCGACATCTAGCGCCAATTAATAGGCAAATTGAAGAAGTAGTCACTGAAGATGAAACTTATAACTCCTTATAAGTTTCATCTTCAGTGACTACTTCTTCACTTATATTTCATAACCCTTCTGATACAGATGCCGAGATCTACCAGACAGCATCTGAGAATGAAAATTTAAATGCTGATAATTCCGGTTCAGAATTAGTTCATTCGCCCCAACGGCCTGTTCGTGAAAGAAGGCCCCCTGCTTACTTAAATGATTATGAATCATAAGGATGGGTGAATGTGGTAGTATAGAAACTCTTTATAATACTATGATTTGTTTTTTTATTGTCTTGTCATATTGTAACATTTCAACATGTATATCTTACTAGCATTTTAGTTGAATTAAACCAATATTTCCTTATGGTCTATATCGTTTTGTATCAGTGGTTTAATAATTTATAGTGGTAAAATAATGTAAATATTTTAGACTAACTAGACACATTTGATTTGAAATCAGTTTTTTTTAGTTTTTTAGGCAACGTTCAAATAACAGTTGGTAACACAGTTCTGACTTGAATGACATAAAGTGATGTCATGTAAGTCAAACATGTGTCAGTCTGTTTCTCCGTTATCTGTCACAATTCCATTAAATTCGTTTTTTTTACTATTTATAATATTTGAATACATCTTTTTCGTTTTATCGTAAATTATTATACTAATTTTTAATTCCTTATCTAAAATGAAACTATTTTTATTACATTATTTAATTTACGGTTCCAAAAGAACAATGTGGTAGAAATGGCAGACTATTATAGAAATCTAGCTAAAACTATAAATAATTGAAGGCGTGTGTAGTTGTGAATGAAAATGGAAAATTCAAATTAAATACTATATAATTAAGCTAAAAATTTACCAAAGATGAATCTCAATAAATTAATATAGTCTCACAAATGAAACCTCATTAAAAATGTGTTTTTATTGAAGAACATTGAAGAAAAATGGAAGCGGGCTCTGAAGAAATTCTTATCCTAGAACCATTCTATGGTGGTTCCCATAAAAAGCTCATTGATGTTCTTACTTCAAGTGAGTATTAATGCGTATAATATATTGAAACCGTTGATTATTAATTACCACAGTGCATTGGTATTGATGAGTCGGGCCTGTACAGTTATCGTGAAATAAATGAAAAGCACAGTCTAGTCCAAATAGTATATATTTTGTCCATTATTATATTGTCTGTCTCATTTACTCGTAAACATATTCCGCAATCCATTAAATTTGCCTCTAATATCTAGTTATATAAGTGGCTAGCAAATACTGCTGTTAAGAAGAATCGAGTAGTGGCTAACTATATAATTCTATTATGCTATTAAATCAGCATATATCTAAGTCATTATTTGTAGGAATGATCTTCAACAACTTTAGATACAACAATAGTAAAATATGATTGTTAAAAGTTATACAACTGTAAACTTCTGTGGGCTGTAAATAAAATTAATGTGGATCATAGTATGAAATAATAGACATTGTTCTGTAATTATTTTCATTTTAATTGATCTCTTATACAATTTTTTAGTTAATTAATAGCAATAACTTTAGACAATATTTACAAGCAGAAAAAGTCATGGGCACAGCCAGTATGTTATAAAAATGATAGTTGTAATATACCATATTCCCCCTAATAGTGTATTCTTAATAATTTGGATTAATAACCCCATTGCTAGCAATCCTATCATGTGAGGTTGGCCTCCACAACCAACCGACTAGGGGCAACCAGCCCCTGGTTAAATTCCAGGTGAATTTAACCTTAGTTCCTTGTGACTAATTGACCAGACCTCATTTTTATTCTAACATCCTCCAGTGGTATAATATGTAACATAATATAGCCTTTTTTCCTAAGTTGTGGTACATTTAGTGGCTTATAAAATGTCCCGCAACTCAGTGTGCCTTTGTGACTTAGTGGCATAGGCCTCCTTCAGCTCTCTCCAGTGAAATCTATCTACCGCAACCATATTCCACAATGGAGTCAGGATCATGTCATCTTTCTAACATATGCTTTGGTGATCCTAGTCCTTCTCTAGGATACTAAAGAGTCACTTGTTTGCTTCATTTAGTTATTTTCATCTTTACATCTGCCCAGTCTATTTTATGATATATAGATACATAAATAGACCATTTAAAAGGGACTGGGCATCCATTTTAAATGGTCTATTGGATACAAATCCATGCATATCTAATCTTAAATAAATAAATTGTCTTTTCAGACTTGCCAAAGCATAAATATACATTGATAACAATGACTGCTAAGAAATGGCACTGGAGAGCACGAACCTCGGCCCTCTACATGTCTACTCAAATATCAAACCACCACAGATACAAAATACTCCTGTGTACATCTGTGTTACCTCTAGCAGAACTGTTGGGTCTACGGCCCGACTTGAGTCACTTAAATAAAATTGTATATTTCCATGAAAACCAGTTAGATTTTCCTGTTCGAGTGGTAAAAGATAGAGATTTTCAATATGGTTTCAATGAAATTTTGACATGGTGAGTTTTAGTTTAACAATTTTAGTATAATTAATTACGAGTGTATTTTGTCTATTTATCAATATTTGTTAATTCAAAACCAACAATAATACAGAGATCTTAACATCATTCACCTTTTTTTAAAACATTGTCTTAATTTATATATTAGAAAACTTGTCAAAATAGAATATTGCTTAATATTTCATCTTCAAACTTCAAATTTCTTATCTAAATTCTTATACTGCCTTAGCTAATATATGATTATTATTTTATTTATTATAATACATACATAGAATATTTTAAAACATAATATGTATACTATTAAGTATATATATAGTGTAAATGAATTTGCCTATCTTATTACATTAAGTATATATTATATATTGCCTATCAAATTTATAAGTTGTGTTAGTTTTTGTCCAAATATGTATAAATATTATAAAGTATTTCTTTTACAGATTTTAATACACATTTTTGTTGTAATTCCAGTTTGACAGCTGATAAAGTACTTTTTAACTCTTACTACAACAGAGATTCATTTCTGTCACATATAAAAAGCCACATAAAATTACAACCAGATTATAAAGTCAAGAATTTAGAGCAAATCATAGCAGAAAAATGTAAGGTGGTGTACTATCCTATAGATTTATCTCTAATAGATACATTTTTATGCCAAGTTGATAAAGCTGAGTCAGATATTCTACATATAGTTTGGCCACACAGATGGGAGTTTGATAAAAATCCTGATGCTTTTTATGCTGTTCTAAAAAGGTTGGATAACAACGGCTATCATTTCAAGGTTAGTTTATACTTTTTTTATACTATAATAATGATAGTGAATGAGCCATCTGTATATAACAATGCCCAATAACAAGGCCCATCTGATAGTAAACGATTACCACAGCCTAGTAATATGGGCGCCTGAAACACCAGGAGTGTCATATGTGCGTTTCCAATCCTCAGAACACCATAATAGATGATCAATATTTAAAGAATTCAATTTTTCAAGAATGAGTATTCCTCATTAAAACATTCATCCCTAATTCATCCCTTTATAATATTAGTATAATAATAGTATACATTTAAATAATCTATTACCTACTTTTTTAAATTTGTCATGGATATTATTTTTTTAATGTATTGGTGCACTCGCCTATGCTAGCGGTTTACGCTGGCGGGACACCAGTGGAGGATAATAAGATAAGCATGAGGTCAGGTCAATTAGTCCATCGTGACAAATTCACCAGGATTTTTTTGCGATGGTTTCCAGTGGGGACTGTGCAGAGGTCAACCCGACATAGTACTGCTAGCAATAGGTTTATTAGTTATAATTACTAACAATTACCTTCCCCCTCTAGGTAAGACTATGAATACTCTATATTTCTTTATCATTTCAAAGTAATACGTAAGAAAAAAAATACATAAGTTTTTTTACATCATATGTTCCAGGTTAGCATACTTGGTGAGTCATTTAATGAAAAGCCCAGTGTTTTTCAAGAACTATATAGAAGCTTGAAGGAATCATTATTGCACTGTGGATATGTCGAAGCTCTAGGGGAGTATTATAGAATCCTCAAAAATGCTGATGTGGTAGTTTCAACTGCAATACATGAGTTTTTTGGTGTTTCTGTGTAAGTATTACTAAAATATCTATTTATCTACACACCATATTCCTTAGAGATTATGTAAAGAGAACTGAATGTTATTGGATTCTGCCTTACTAATAAGTCATGTAGCAAGCAACTCTAAAGGTTGCTAACAGTACAAATTATGTTAACAATTTATAAAAAATCCTTATAAAAGACCGTATTGTCCATGTGATTATTAAGAAGTACGAAAAATTATATAAATTCAACTCTTAAATGTTATTTTTTTAAGATTGGAAGCAGTTTATTGCGGCTGTATACCGGTGGTGCCGAAGCGCTTGTCATACAAAGAGTTATATCTAGAGCAAGTCGACGAAGTCTATGAAACAGAGAGTGAACTATATGACATACTGGCTGATCTATGCACAAAGAAGAAAAATGGTGAGTTGAATAAGAACTATAGGCATATAGCTCTGCCTTTCGACTCTATGAAATGGTTCAATAATTTTATGCAAACCATTGATATTAAATTGAATACATAATAAAAATCTCGTAAAAATACTCAATAATAAATAATTAATTATATAATATAAATTATAAAATAATTAATACACGACGTTAATGTTATACAAAGTAGAAGCATTATATATAGTCAAACTAGGATTACAATTGACACTAAACTGTTTAAAATTGCCACCCTTCATGTGTTGTGTAGCGCGGCGTATGCTGCCTACGCCGTACTTACTAAGAATCTATGTAGGTACTTTATGTATAGGTAATATAGGTTCCACCAAAGTATTTTAGCGTGTTATGTGACTACTGCTTAAGGACAAGCGAGAAAATAATATATATAATTATTTAAAAATTTATAATGTAAAATTGACACTCTTTTTAATAAATTTTAAGAAAAATAAACTCATAAAGTTAATAAAATTTAATAATAATAGTATGTATCGATTGCCGCACCTGTAGTACAAGATATAATTAGTTTAGGATTATATAGCGCTATATCATGCGTTCATAGTCACAGATGGACATATTTAAGATTATCTGAATGTTTGTAAATAACAATAACATATTATTTTCCTGCTGTTAATAAGCTATGTTATTTATCAGCTGTAATAATGATCCTGGCCATTAAACGTGCAATATCCTTTAGAAAATAGACTGATTATGGTATTAGAATGTAAGACTATACTCCCACTGCCATTTCCTCTTTGTATATTTGAATTTAGCATGTTCTAAATGTAAATGCATTGAGATTTTTCATGTCTTCGATTTTCAATGAATTGTTTATTGTAACATATATTAAACTACTTAAGCCATGTACTAATCTAATTATTCTCATTCTTATTGTACTTATATGATGTATTATACAATAGATATATACATATTATGCGTGCATTATTGTCATTATGTTACACATATAAATGATGTATTAGATTCTTATACATACTGTAAAATATACATACTTGAATAATGGAAATAGGCAGTTTGAAAAATAAATATGAAGTTGTATTATACATTATCTTGTATTTTTAGAGGCGGGTTTTTTGCCCACTTTATGTCAATTTTGTTATACTTTACAAGTAACGATAGTTTTATTTTATTGAAAAATAGCGAGATAAGACTAGTATTATATTTATTTCAATCTTATATTCTTCCATATTATAATCCATATAGACAACTGTTAATAAAATATTAATGTATGTCGCAATGCATATATACATATATATATATATACCTCCAAATGGACTGGATTTGCAGCAATACAATGATATCCCATGATTCTGGAGTGGATAAGATATATTTGCAATGATGGTTAGGAGGCTGTTTGCTCTCTCCTGAATTCTACACATCGGTAACGCAGTTATTTTGCGCATTATGGCTTGAAAGCCATCAATACGCGTTTCTGCAAACATAGTTTAATTTTATAAAAGAGGTAAATAATATATAGAATAATCTAGGCAACATTTTATACCAGTCAATTTGTCATATGGACGTAAATACTGGTTTTATATACAAATGGCATATAACACCAGTATTTACAGAAATTATTGTTGTATTAATTGTTTGGTTGTTTTGACATTGTTATTGTTTTTATTTTAATTATTATTATATATTTCACGTTACATAGTAAAGGTGAATATTTGTTTGAATTGGTATTGAAAGTCTATTTATTTAGTTTGCGAAACTCAATATTTGTATCTCAAATTTTTGATTATTATTGTATAGCTTTAAATATATTACCAATGAGATTAAATTGATGCTACGAGATTTAAGGTTATCTACGCACCATTCATGATCTTTGCAACTGGAAATAACATTTTTATAAAGTAGAACATACTTATTGTTGGGTTCTTCATCGCTCGGAGGACCATATTAAGGTGGAGTTAGACTACAAAGTGAGGATTTAAATATAATTGTGTTGGTATAAAAGTCTAACGTAATTTGTTTGGCAGGTTTCGAACACGCGAGCAATGAAAGAATATTTTTAGGAATGCTCGTAGTAGGATTATTTTAATATTAATAACTAAACCTGTATAAGTGATTAACATAAAAAATATATATTTTAATTCGAATAAAGTAGAATATAAAGTACATCTGTCATGTAAATCCTAAGTAACATAATAAATGTGAAAGCTTAGAATCTGTTGCACTTCTTTACCATAACTGTCAAGTAATTTGACATGTTTGTGTATTTGAGATTGGTAAGTGTAGACTTTTTTCATGGGTTTTAAGGTAAGGTAAAACAAAGCTTGTTATACGTTGGACTCCGTACTAAATAATCTTGTATGGTCCCACCATCATATAATAATTGCTAATATCAATGTAACTTGTATAAGTTTATAACGTAGTGACGTGTGCAATTTGTCGGGTCGGCACCGCGCACGTGGCGCCCCCGTTGTTTGAGGCGTTTACCATTAAATAGCCATATGATAGCATGCCACCACCGTAGTATCATCAATAAAAAAAATCTGGAGAAGTAATTGTCATTCGCTTCATTGTTCTAACTCCACCATTATATGATATTAATCTATGTTCCTAAGTTGTAAGTTATACCAAAGAATAAAAGTCTGTAAATGTTATAGATTTGTTTTATTACTGAACACAACAATATTTCACACGTATCGTCCCAGGAGTATGCCAAATTTGTACTGTATCCTATGCACGTAGACCTCGCCTGGATTCAGCACGGAGTTCGGGAAGTTTTTCTGAAATTAAAATAAATTACGAAATTATTGTCGTGACGTAAACAGATAAAATAATTTTAATTATAACGATCTGATTACCACAGGTTTACTTATGGAACCAAAAAATCATTTAGAGGATGGATTCCTTTATGATAGATTGACATTGCCTATTATTGTTATTTTTTGGTAGGTATTATTTGTTTTTCTTTTTTATATATTTTGTTTATATTTTCAGGATGTAGGTGATTAAAATTTAATTAAGAAACCTAAGTAATAAACGGCTGAGTTAATTTCAATAATAAAATTCTTACATGGTTAACGGCATCAGGATAGTTTTGGGGCATCAGACAGAAGAGACCGTGTTTCTTATAATAAGTGCCAGATTTTCCCATTAGCGGCACGTAACCATACCTAGGCTTACCCTGAAAATAATAAATACATACATTAATAATAATTAACTTTAATATTTGAATTTACGATTAACTTTAATATTCATTAAAGTTAATCGTAAATTAAATCGCAAGAGTGTAAAAAAGTTGACTGCGTGGGTAGCTCTGTCTCACTATTTTAAGTGACTGATTATGTTTATGATTATGTCCTGTCACAAAACAGGTTTTCAAAATCGATGTATAAATCTAGAACCAAAAGGCTATTATTTCTTAGTGCTCCTGGATAAAATGGATACCAATATTCTTTTATTATATGTTTTGGTTTTAGATATTTATTCTAATTAAAAATTACAAATAATTCAATTACATGTTAAATAACTAAAAATATCTCATACAAAATAAACATTAGTGAAAATATAAAAGAAAAATATTGTCTTATTAGTACTTGGAAGTTCATAATTACGACATTGATTATTATTATTATTATTACTGTATGACGTTTTAATGGAAGATAATGAGCAACGACGCTAGTGCTAGAGATGTTCGTCATATCTACGTACCTATCAAGTATGTCTGTCTGTTTGTTTCCTTTTCACTAGTAAACGGATGTAAATGAAATTTGAAGGGAGATTCATTGCATCATGGGGAAGGCATTTATCTAAAAACATCAATAAACCTGATGAAGATTCGGGTAAAAGTTATAAGTCACCTCGCTTCCGTCTTCTTCCGATTCTTCGCCTTTTGCACTCGACTCCTCACTGTCCGATTCCTCGCTCTCATCCTCGGCTTTACCTTCATGCTGTTCTGCAACGCTCGTGCTCTAAACGCATTGTAAATTACCAATCAAATTATCTGGCAATAAATTATGTTTCGAACATTCTAAGGAGGAATTTCTAGTGAATGTAATGACTAGCAGTCATGTCAGGCGATAAATGGAATGTGATTGGATGCCCTGATATTATCAATATAGCATTGCAGAAAGCATGACATTGTGCTGGGTCATGCTAAATGGTATTAGATATACATATATCCGAAATGGGTTTGTAATATCTAATATAATAAATAATGAACCTCTATAATCTTGTCAGGATCCGGTAGTAAGTTTCCTGTATAGAACTGCATCCCCGGTTGGTTGCTGTACAACTCCAAAACTCGACCAGAAACTGGGTGTAATACTCTGTATTTAACAAAAAACAGTTGAAAAATAACTTGCTGAGACCGATTCCACCATGTATTGCTAATATCCCTGCTGCTTGTATCAACTGACAAGCATCAACTTGTCTTATTCTTATAAGGCAAACAAAGAAGCGGAACTCTATCCCAGCTAGTGTTTCTGGTCTCTTTATTGAATCTTTCAGGTCAAGACTGAAGAAGCTTTAAGATCCATGTAAAAGCTTTAGACATCATCTCATCGATCTGATTGTGGTCAACGCAATAAATTGATCCTAAGCTAAGCAGAGTTTTGTGCTATGGATATAGCACAAATTCTGCTTAGGATCTTAGGATTTACTCTGAATAAAATTTACGAATAGATGGCGATGCGTGTATGAATATACAGCGTCCTCTACTCCTGGTTATTATTATCATACTAAATTATAAACTTAAATCTATTCCAATGCAGTCGTAAGCAATAACATAACGACCTCAAATAATTTCATGTGAAAGTGTGCCTTATTACCTGGCTTGGAAGGCTAAATCTTGATCAGTGCCTTGTGTCACGCAGTAGTTTATGTCGTATCCTCCTAAAGGTATCTTCGGCAACATCGCTCGTAGCACACGGGGCACTCTAAAATCATACGCGGAGCCTCCGACAACCTTTTTTTCGCCTACAAATAAATTTTATTCAGTTAGGCATTGTTACTAATTTAATATTCGTTTTTTAATAAAAATATTCTAAATTACAATAGTCGAAGTTAGCTAAGTTATAACATGAGCTATCTGCGAGTGGAAGTTCCACTAAAATCGGTCCAGTCATTTCAGAGGTTAGCAAGAACAGGCAGCCAATAAATTGAAAATTAAGTTTTTATGTAAGAACCGTATATATTTTCTTATGCATTTTGTTAAAAACTGTTAATTTTCAAATTTAATAAATTATATTTTTTTGTAATTACAAACACAGTATGCAAAAAATACATTTTCAAATAAAAGAACTGGAGATGGCTTTATTAGCCACAAAGTTGAATAGGCAAACAACTCAGCATGAAGCTAAATCTGCAACGCTGCGCTGATATTCTGATGGCTTCTTTACTTATACTACTAGACTAAAAATATATATAACATGTATTAAACTGCGAGCTTAATATATGTATGCTCTTATAAGTCATGATAGAAGAAAAGAATGATATAAGATGTACCTACTTATGTTATTAAAGCTTATACTATGTGAATAATATATTGTACTGTGTAATTAAAACTTTATATTTAGAAAGATAGTGTGATTGTCTTATATTGTTTCGTCGTCAATAATTATATATTTTATATCATATTTTATTTTTATAATTACACTATTTATAGTGTTAAATGCCTAAAATATTTTTTAATATATTTTTGTTTAGTTGTGATAATCATTGACAGACATCAATAATTATATATGAGCAAATATTTTTATGAACCCGACAGTATCTACTTAGTATTCGTGTCAACATAATTTTATCGTAATTTTTACATAACTACAACCGACAGAGCGGATGTGCGTAGTTCGACATAAATTTGACCAATTTCATCGCTTATGAATTATTGTATTCAGTACATGAGACAGTTACGACATCTAAATGGATTTTTCTATCAGTGTAGTAATGGGATTCATTACTACGCTGATAGAAATATCCACACACACAATGACAATAGAAAAAAACAATAGAAGTAAACTGAAATAAAAACCTTAAAAAATATAATCATTAATATTTGAAGAAAAAACTTTGTCTATCTGAGATTCATAATATTCTTTTAAAAATATGATTAAAAAATTGAAATAAAAAAAAACCGCCTCAGTGTAAAAAGAACTCGGTATATAAAAACCTAATGGATTTTTCATATTTACATCGGTCTGTAAATGTTTGTATTTATTTGAATATATTTTAAATAATATTATAATACCTGTCACAATTTGGTCGTCATCAACAACAGTGTACTTGTCAGCATTGATTGTAAATATGTGATCATACATCGTCTCGCAGCCAGCATGCTATCAATAAAAAATAAAAGCTTCACTATTATCATAATTGACAGGAATATTAATTAAGCACTTATCTAAATATAATTTTATAAACACCAAGTAAAGTAAGAATACGTTTCATTTGTTATTATATTGACTGAAAAATATAAATAAGAAACAAATTAATAGAATCTTACATAATAAGCATCCTACTATATGTAGGCATGTACATATAGAAAATAAAACAAGACACTGACAAAACCAATCGAAATAGGTGAGTCAAAAACATTTTATTAAAATATAAATCCTATGTTTCTAAAAAGTGGACTGTAATTAAATAAGTACTACTTATTTATTATTCATTGTCTAAATTTTGGGATCTTACAAATGCTTTTTGAATAATATTTTGTGCGTCTTTTAGTAACACTGCAACGTAAAATAGCAACACAATTTTGTTCAGTCCTATTACGCCATCTGGCCTTAAATCCTTGTAAATTGTGTACATGAGTTATTAAAGTACATTGTAGTGAACCAACCTGTTTATTGACACATAAAGCATCCACCCACGCAATATCTGGCTAGCATCGTAGCTCAGTTTAGAAGTCTATTAAAATTTGCATAAATATCTTTCTTATAAACGCAACTGGAATGGCAAAAAAGCTTACGACCCACCTGGTAACCGTCGCGTATATACATGAACAGCATTATAGACATCACGATATCATTACACTCGCAATATAACTCATTTGTTATTCTTCTGAAGGACTAACAATAGCATGCTTCTTATGCTGTATTTCTATTACACACTGACTTATCTCACAAGGTGATATTATCACACAAAAAAGGTGAGGTATCGATGCAGACGGCTCCTTACAAAGTCTAACTCGATAAATATTTCTATTAGCGTAAGTATGTACAATCTTTAGGATTTAAAACTTACATGTCCAGCGAGATTAAAGTATGGCGAGTTGCTCAGATTGACAATAGTGGGTTCGCTAGAGGTGCACCTCATCTCAATTTTGATGGTATTTTCACAGGTCACTTCAAATGTCACCTGAGCCATCACCGTGCCAGGGTAGCCCTCGTGGAAACGATCCGACACGTGGCTCATGATAACCTTATTACCATTGACATACGAGCGCCAATTTACCTTAAAAAGAAATGATAATAATAATAATAAATCCTTGGACAATTCACAGGACGCCATCTAATTCCATGCTATGCAGATGGTATTATGAGTACTAGACAGAATAAATACATAGATACATTTTTTGTAGATACATAAATATCCAGACCGATTCAAACAATTATATTCAAGAATACAAATATTTGTAACGTGCGAGGAATCGAACCCGTCATCGCGTCGAAATGGCGACCATGGCGAGAAAATCGGTGTTCTAAACCAAAAAATATCCTACAAAGCAAGCACTTTTGTTTCTCAAATCTCAAATAATCGTAGGTGAGAGAGAGACATATACACGCAGAAGAATTTGTACACACTTAACTTCGGTCAAAACTATGTAATAAATAATGTAGTTATTATATTGGTCTTATGTACTACCTAATATTTATAATCTCATAACTCTCATTTCCGTCTTTGTGTGGAGAAAGGCCTGCGAAGACGTCAGCAATTTCGGCAATTCTAAGAGAAGCTTGGCTAGCTATTATAATGTATAGTACCGGCTCTCAACTCATGGCGGCTCATATACGTATGAACATTCACAAGTACGTATTACTCAACAGAACCACCAAAATTAATCTGCCTATTCTTTTCTCTGTATTTGTTAAAACTGAAGATGCTTTACATCTTCAGTTTGTTATGTTTATTATGTTCCAATACATGGAAAGAAATAAATTGTTCCAAATGAAAAGGATATTTGATATATCTTATCTTATCTTAATAATATAAACGCGAAAGTTTGCAAGTATGCATGGATGTTTGTTATGCTTTCATGCAAAAATTACTGAACGGATTTTGATGACACTTTACAGTAATATAGCTTATGCGTCAGAATAATACATAGGCTATATTTTATATTGACATTTAACGAGGATGAAACCGCGGGAACAAGTAGTATTTAATAAAGTAATGTCAACTCATTCAACATTTGCAGCATAATTAAGTAATTACTAATGATATGATTTTATTATCTGCAGCTCGCGGTTATGCACTTGTGAATTGAGACTCGACATTTTTACGCCAGATTCCTCACGAAAAAGTTATTGTCCAAACTTCATTCATCTCCGTTGAGCCGTTTAAGCATGATTGAGTAACAAATAACGAAACATCTTTACTAACTTTCACGTCTATAAGAACAGCTATATCTAACTTAGAATCAGGAACAAGTATTCACATTTTGTTAATAAATATTTCTGTACTTTAAAAGATATATTTTTTAATACCATGCGTTTGTAGGCGTTTGATTCTTAATGGAGTATGGTAAACATGAAAAATGAGCAGGCCCATTAAATGGAAGAGACAACCGTCGCCTATATACAGGAACAGCTGTCATGGACCATGGCAACGTGTGTCATGTTGCCATTATTTACTAAAGTGTCATATTTCAGAACACTGTAATTTTACGGCCATATGTTACTCTCCACCAGAGTAATTTATACAAGCTCCTTGACAACGGAATTTGGTAATACTAGTCTTTGCAACGCAGATGACTTATTGAAACCTTTCATATTTGTAAAACTAGTGAAATGGTTATAGATGGAATAGAATAGAATTCTTTATTCAAATAAACTTAAAATTCATAGTCGTATTTATTATTTAAGTCAAGAAAAATCGGCAAACTTGCGTGTCCTCTTTTAAAGAAATGTTGTTTAACTTTATATTTTTAAGCTAAAGTGAGTGATGAATACATACTACTAAATAGCGCTGATTCCTTCAATTGTTAAATTCATAATTGCGTCCAACATGTTTGATACACAAACAACTGGTTGACAAACTATATAACAGTAAAACAGTCGTAATGATTAGAGCAGACCAGACAATGCAAGCAGCAGACATTCACGAGTATGACGGATGAGCCAGCCAATGCGCTCCACTGGTATGTACAAAATATAATTACCTTATCAAACCCAACGTAGCCACCATTGTAGTGGTCGTGACCCTTGTTTGTTGAGAGCATGTACATCCTGCCGGAGGGTCTGACTACAATGGTTCCATCTCGAATAATATTGGCGTAACGACCTATTGTAGCTCCAAAATATGGATTTCTTGGCTGGAAGTATTCTGCAACATGTTGTATATCAACATAGTAATTTACCTGTATCGTTTAAACATCATAAGTAACAATAAAAGATTTTATATAGACTTTACAGATAAGCCTTTACTAATAAAATAAATGAGAGACTAAAGTGGAAAGATCTCGTAAACAGTTATGTCCATAACTGTAGATTTTCGCTTCAAGCTGAAGATAGAGCAGAAGAATAAGGGATCAGATAATTCTTTGAAAACTACAAATAGCATTATAGCAGCATTATATATAGCTATGTGATCGAGAGATACAAAGAAACTGAATGAAATAATCAATGTGGCATTGTACAATATGTAAGCAAAAAGATATGAGATTATCGCATTTAAGTTCATCTATTTTAATATATGTAAGCAGTTAAATATTGATAATCGGAACTTTAATGATTGTATAGGTAAATATAATGTACATACCTTGCAATGTATCAAAACCAGCCACCACATCATCGGGTACTCCTTTCTTGTCAGGAACTTGGATAGATGTTATTGTAGCTCCATAAGTTATTACCTTACAATTAGATAACAATATAGTCTACTGTAGTATATGTGCATTCATGTTATAGAAAATATAGTATATTTTCTTAGCCTGTCGTATACAATATATGAGAGTTAAGTTAGCGATACGTAAATTAAAATATTCTTTAAGTTTAGACTAGCACCCAATTTGTGTTTTTCCCGTAGTATGTAGTATAGTCTCTGAAGTAGTATAAAATAGTAGTATTTCGTACGTTCTCAATCCACCACTACGAGTATTATTAAAATAGGAAATATCTATAACTACTTTAAAGTACCTGTACTATCATTCTGTTCTTTGTCTTCCACGTATATCGTCTAACAATATCAATATTAGTGCTCGAACCACAAGGACTTTTTGGGCCATCTTCAGGCATGATTTCATCCTCAACATTCTTTTTGCTGTAAATATTTGAAGCACGACTCTTTGATGTCACTACTGGTGTTTTCGGCATAAAACCAAACCCGTCGACTATAAGTTCCACGTCAGGAACCTTGGATACTTCAGGTTCTTGATATTCTTCCGGTTTCTGTTCAGATCCCACATCGCCACTGCCTTTTTCATCTTCTGAGTCAACCATTATTACAGATAATTTTGAATCTAAATATATTAACTAGTTTTTTGACCGAATTTATAAAATTATTTTCTAAATTTTTTCTTACATACTGCTGTCACTTAACATTTTTGTTTTATAATTAATGACATTATTATGACATGTTAAGAAATCGAGCTTGCTATGAAGTAGAAAGAGTTATTATTTTTAATTTTGTATGTAGTTAGAATTTTTTTTTAATCTACTAAGGCAATATTGTTAGAAGTTAAAATTAAGTTATTAAAAACAAAATAAACTTAAGATGAAATTGGGATAATTCCATCGTTATTGACAAGTATATATACTAGCTGCACACGCGACTTCGAATTTAACTTTATTTTTAAAAAAAGTATACTAAGTTACTCCTTATTACATCATGTACCCGCAAAAAAAAGTCCCGTCAAAATCGGTCCAGCCATTTCAGAGATTAGCCGAAACAAACAGCCAGACAGCCAAACGGTTATTTCAATATTACAAACAGACACTCAAATTTTATTTATATGTATATATATATATTTAGAAAGAGAATTTTAGGAAAAATTGTCAATACAGCCCTAAAGTGAAGTTTAAAAGTAAACTATAGTAATTTTGTAACAATTGTGAATCGCCACTATGGATTAGGTATATTAATATTGATATCTCTGCATGTACTGAACCGATTTATGACGCTTAGAAAGCCACCTTATTTCTGAGTATCAATAGGAACGGAGCTGTAACGAAAAATGTTACAAAAACGGCGAAAAACGCAGATAAAGTTACGCAAGTCGGCAGCTGTTTGCATGTATATTTTTTAATTTTAATTTACCTATGTTGTAGCAAAAGAAATTCTGAGGACTCAGTTTAAGATTTTCAATAATACAAATATTAAAACTAAATTCACTGAGTTACCTAGTAAACAATAAAAATATGTAAATATACTAAAATATAACTACTTTTTAATTATATCAAAATTCTAAAATTTGGCCTTCATTTTCTGTTAAGTGAGACTGTTGTCAATGTCATCTAAGAATTTCATTGCTTATCGAATTGGGCTACAGTCTTCAAGGCTAGAAAATGCTATTGAATGCTATTTCATATTATACAATTCCTCGACTAGAAAAGAAAACAATACGATAATGTTACTTTGAAATTTATTGAATCATTTAAAACACTAAAAATCGTTAGTAATCTTATTTTAGGGCAATATATAAATAGGTAAGTATTTCTAATACATTTTAACCACAAAAAAAAGGTTTGTGCGTTACGACACTTTGAACTGAAAACTTTGTACGCGCGTTCAAACCCAGAACACCTTCACGGTCTGCTTGTCGAGTTCGATCGTATCAGTCTTCCACTTCTCATGATCACCCAGAATGTCGGGTATCTCTTCTAAATATCCCACCTCTTTGCATGGCGATGGTGGTATAATACTTATAATAGGAATTCCAATCTCTTGAAAAGAACTCATTGAAGAAAACCCACTTTCATCTTCAATAAAATTAGACATATGGTTGTAATCGATCTTTCTGTCGATAGGAGTCTTAGACACTATGGCGTTTGTTTCGACACCATTTTTTGCAGATAGACCGTTGGTATGATTTTTATCATTTACTTGTATGCCAGCAAATTTATTTTCCAAACCACCATTTGTAGATTTATCAATGAAATTAGTCAAAGTGTTATCTTTGACTTGTATGAACTTATTAATACCATCATAAGTGTCATCTGTGTCACATACTGCATTTAAAATGAATGTATTTCTTGTATCCTGCTCCATAATATTTATTATTGGCGCTTTCCTATCTGGTTCTGATCCCATTTTCTTTTCTATCGGATTTGATGATGATGTGCTCTTTAGTTCAGCGGGGATCTCAACACAAGTACATGTGAGGTCAGGCAGCTTTGTGCCAAGCACTGTATTGGCAAGAGTTATTAACCTCGACATTTCCTCTGATATCTTTTGCGAAGCTTCAGTTTCAGAAGTCAGCGATAATTTGGATTGATTCCTAAAACATTTCATAATATTAGATTAGATAAGATTAGATTCTACACTATTAAAATATATCATAAATAGGTACTAATAGTATTTTTCTTTATTAAAACAACTTACCAATTTCCATTGAATTCTTTGAAACCATTAACATTACTAATGGACTTGCTAATCTTTCTTGTGCTTATTTTTTTGGTGGGAGGCGTCAAGTATTCAGGATTCTTGTTTACGTGTAAAACAGACTTTGACCGCGGCAGGTCATTAAAATTGTAGGTTCGTGGTAAAACCTTCGGGGACTCCTTGCTGGTATTATCATTCTTCTGAAACTCTATATGATCTTTCACTCGATTTAGGAAAGTAACTATTTGCTTTAATAGAGCTATATGCATCTGCCTGTTTGCTTCCGTCTGAAAACAATACACTCACATTGGCAAAGTTAATGTAATTACAATTGTGTAAGACGATAAGAATGTAAATAAAATAGCAATTCGCTGAATATTCGCTTTGCTTATTCGCATTGCAGTTTATAAACTGAATTTGTTTTGGAAAATTAATATCGGTGCACGTACGGTTTTATATTTAAGAACAAATGAAGCGTTAATAAACAAAAACATTAGAAAATATTTAAAGCTTGTTCAAAAACGTCTAGTTAATTACAGCCTATTAGTACTACAATGTAGGCGATATTTGATACTTACTTGAGCAAGTTGCCATCTCAGGGTTTCCACTTCCATATTGAGGGCTGTCACCTCAGTACAATGTATATCGGATTTCTTCTTTATAGATTTATCTGGGGGCTTCACTGCTTCGCCATTTTGCTCCATAATAGTATTTTTGGAAAGTTGAGAAGGTGGCTCAATTCTTTCTGGAACCTGGAACAGAATAAGAAAAAGTAAATAAAAACGATTGCAAATCAGAGTAATCTTAATAGATGAAAGATTCTTTTACACAAAACCGCTATAATCTCGACAGAAAATGTGCAGAATAACATAGGAATAAGCTGTGTTTAAAAAATCATAACCTGACAGCCTCCATTTGAGGACGGGCGAGAACAATTAACTGTTGAAGTGAAACCGCAGGTTACATTCAGTACACTATACTAATGCTATGAAGTAACTACCAACAATAAACGAGTTACTTCATATGTATTACTAATAATGTAATAGGGATTTTACAACACCTTACTACAATGATATCTTGTGAAGTGTCAAAATAAAATGAGAACAGTATAGAAATATATGAACTTAGGAGTACCACAGTCCACAGTCATGAAGAGCACTTTCCTTATTATTATTAATGACTCATCATCTGCGTGTGATGACAATAAAAATAAATAAATCAATAATAATAGCAAAATGAAATGAATGTCTTTAGGCAATGGTTACCGCTTTCGATCAAGTGCTTGTCAGCTTGGCTTGGCTCCAAATGGCAGAAAAATGTACACTGTCACTCCGTTATAAGATTTTTAATAAACGGAAGCTAAATCTCGAATCTCGCTAGAGATAAATAATTTCACTAAAATTACTGTTCGGTTATCTAAAGTAGCCCGTGGGACCGCATTGAATAGAGACTATGTCACACACATAAGAAATCCGTTTACAGTAAAGTAGCTTCACGATGTTTTCAATTATTATATACTTTTAACTATTATTTCTCAACTATATACATATACTTGTAATATGGGATTTTATTATAAACTTTAACTTAATTTTCACAATTTTATAAATCTCTTTCTGGAATTGACTCTTAACCTATTAGACTGTCTAGGTAATGAGAAAAAAATCATTGAATATGATGCTTATCAGGTCCCTGTGATGAAACTTTATAGAGCCTGAAAGAAAGAAGAATAAGAATATTTATTTTTTTAAGAAGAATTGTTACTTCATATTACTATATATATTTTGTGCATATTATATATGTCTATAAGATTGCTATCCAAACCATAATATCGGGGGAAAGACCACTGTGAGTAATCCAATAATAATAACCGCCTATGGTATTACTAAGGTTCTGGTACTAGTGACCACATTCTAGTAATATACCATGTCAAGCCGACACCCACGAGAATGCCCTGGAAGCCGTCTTAGTAAATTTGTGCGAATTCATCACTATGGACTTACTGGCCTGACTTCATGCTTAAACTATGATTCTCCAAAAGTGCCCCGCCAGAATATATCATTAGAAAGACCATCAATAATTAAAGAAACCATCATATCAAGCAAATAAAGCTAATTTGTTTTAATATCGTATCAAGCATATAATAGCTTAATTCAAGCTACGACCAGATAAAGCTGTAGATGATCACACTTGACTGATGCGTACGTGTCTGATAAGGTACGTGTCTGACCTTCCACGGAGCTTTTTTGAAATAGACATGATTGCAGCCCACTAGCACAGTTTAAAGCAATTTTAGAGTAACGAGAATAAAAAACGATGTCAGAGATAGAACTTGTCCACAAATCAAAACATTCATTGTACGTTAAATATCTTATAACAACACAAATAACAGCGCCAGATACATTTTTAAAGATGGAAATTCTTATTTGTGTGATTTTTTGTGACGGTGCCAAAGAGAAACTTAGTAATCACCATAATAATATAGAATCATTGAAGTATGTATCTACATCTAAGAATTTTATATACAGGGCGCTAACGTGTGAAACGAGCTACTTTTAGGGATTTGTATGCTTCAGTTGTAACAACGGATTTATTATGTTATCATACTTAATTGTAATTATATGCTTAAAAAATGTCATCCATAATATTGTCTTATGGATTTCAGATATATTCATTCGTTTCTTCTGTCAAATTTCATCTTTACCTAAAATGAGGGAGGAGTCGTTTACTCACGTTTAGTGACGCTTAATAGATTACTTTTAACAAGTATAAGTAATTTCAATAAGTAACAAGTAAAAGTCCCACATATTCACTCGAATTTACCTAAATTATGAGAAGCAAAAGACTTCCTATGTGAGGAGTCTACGTTCCGAATGAGTGGTACAATAAAAAATATATGAATGTTAGGTTATATTTATATTAAGCTTATTATTATTTTTGCCACACACAACCACATTGTGTAATCACCTTCCGAGCGGATATGATATTGAAACCTTCAAGAAATTAGCTTATTCCTTTTCAAAAGTCCGACAACGCACTTGCTAGTCTACCTAGAGTTTCGGGCGCTCATGGGCGGCGGTAATCACTTACCATCGTGACCCGCATGCCCGGTTTATTTCAATAACGAATACTATACTACTATTTCCTTTTTAATATAGTAGTGGTATAATCCCGTAAACCATTATTACCACCAAATTAATTGTGCTCTCAATAAAAACTGTTACACTTAACAATAGATTCATTAACATTAGCACCCAGTCGCCAATGTAAACAAATTAGTAGACCTTGACGAATTGTAGCATATACGTACTTACTTCTATATCTATATATGTATGTACATAGAACAAAAATGGTACATCGCTGTCTGTACATTTGTGAGAATAACTATTACAGGGCCTAATGGAATCGAAAATAATTATTATTACATATTTTGTCCGTTTGTCAGCGTGTTCGGGAACACTAATCTCAGAATATCCCTTAAAGTACCAATTGTGTTTGTTTTGCATACATAAGATATACGATTGTTGATATATCACAGCTACGCAGTCGCTTTGCAAGTATTAAACATGCATCTATATATACCGTGAGATATGTAGAATACAAATCAGTAGCATTATATAACTGTGGTTACATAAAAAACAATTGTATCAAGTAGCGGACCCCTCATTAAATGCTCTTTTGTGTAAAAACTGGAAAGCATGTGCGCGGGCGCCGATTGACAATACCGCGACCATCCCACGCTTTTGCCTCTCTGTCAGGTGACCTCTATGTGGATAGCAAAAAGTGCACAATACCCGTTATGTTTAATAATAAGATTTCTCATAGCGAATCGACATGACATGATTCATCTCACTTACGTTGTTTGCGAATGTTTTGAGGTTAACTGTAGCCAGTTATGTAGGGCCCGCAATTAATGGAACAAACTGGGACGACGTCGGTGATTAACGTACTATTTAGATTTCCAGATATCTTTTTTTTATTTTCTGTGTGCGGTAATACATCCGGTTATCTTATTGCTTAATTTACCAATGCCCTTACAACCTAGAGTCCACTGATACAAAATATTATACAGATTTATTATGATAAACGTGATTTTTCTGTCTCCAAATCGAAGGACCTATTTGTTCAGTATTTTTTGTGGCCAAAGTTTTTTTTAGTACAATTAAATATTTGGGTTTTTTTTTGCTTTAAAGTAAATTAGATTATTTAATACATAAAATAGCTCATGTACTAGGTGCTAAACTAATATAAATACTTACGTAAATTACAAAGTAAATACCCAGAAAAGATATAAACAATCATACTCATGAACACAAATGTTTGTCGGGGTATCAAACTTACAACCATCGGTAGTGAGGCAGTCTGCTAAACAGCTATCGCCTGTCAATTATAACGAGTACGAACGTCATGTTACTATACACGCAATTATAGATACGCAATTTTTATACCTGTCTATATAAGTAAAATAGAGATATTATAATTTCATTTTTTTATAACTTTATCGTTCATGACAAATATATATTGTAGTATAATATATGCCATAGTATGTCTGTCTGTTTGTAACCTCAACGGATTTTAATGAAATTTGACGTGAAATTAGATTGTACTACTGGAAAGGATATAGGCTCTAAACATATAGCAGGCGGAGTCACGGGTTACTAGTACAATACATAAAAATAAAGGTTGGTTTTTTGATACTTTGTAGCGGTAAAATATTAAGTTTATAAAACTATTAATAAATATTTGTGGATACTAAAAAACTTTCTATACATACCAATTATTATTAACATTTGTATGGACATGATTGTGTACGAAAAATTACATGTCATTGTTTAACTGATGAAGTGATTGCGTTGATTGTAAATTTGCTGTTTTTATACAAATAAATAAAAGACAATATACAATTATATGTAACTATCTATACACGCTACTTCGATCGCGTGGAATTTTACTTTATTTTTCTAAAATAAAAGTAGCCTAAGTTACTTCTTATTATATCAGCTACCTGCCAAAAAAAAGTCCCGTCAAATTCGGTCCAGCCATTTCAGAGATTATCCGAAACAAACAGACTGACAAAAATAGTTAAATATGTTATTTTGGTGTACCGTATTTATATTCATATGCATGTAGTAAAAAAAAGGGTTATTTCAATATTACAAACAGACACTCCAATTTTATTTATACGCATAGATGATGAATAATCAATGGTGTACGAGCCTATGCTAACGGTGTACACTAGGGCAGAATTGGAGGATGTTGGAATGTATATGATAAATCCCTTTAAATAGTGCACTTGACTACAAATATTGACATCCTCGGTGAGTGGTTTAGCACACCGCCTTACTGTCTGATGGCGCGGGATCAAGTCCTCGCACGGTACAAACATTTATATTCATGAGTATGTTGTAATATTGTTTTTGCTAAGTATAATATGCATGTATTTATAAAATGAAAATTATACATGTATCGGTTATCTAGTACCCATAACACAAGGTCTGCTTAGCTTGGAACTAGATGCCGCTGTGTAAATTGTAATAAGATATTATTATTATTATATGATATTCGTAAATTTTTCTGATATGTTCTGTCTGTATACTAATTTATATTCGAATACGTTTAGTAGATTATAACGAAATATATACACCACGCGGTAAAGCTGCCTAGCCATGGTAGTTACTGTTATTTTGGTAAAATAACACCCTTGTCAATGGGTACCGAATACCTTGCTTGTAATATATCATTATAAATATGCTTC